GACGGGGGGGGACGGGACGCGGGGAGACGGCGCAATTACCGGGGGGAAACGGTGGGGCCCTCCCCAAAATGCCACCACGGGGTGTGGGGTGAGAAAGTTGCTTTCCTTCTTATTTAGTCGATCTCTTAAACACAGCCAGAAAAGAACATTAAAGGCATTTCTAGATTTCGTTTCGGTTTTGGTTTTTTTTGTTGTTGTTTTTTTTTATTCCCATGCTCTTAATTTTGAAAAAAAAAAATCACAAAACATAACTTATAAAACAATATATATACTGCATCCTTATCCACAACAGCATAATTGAAACATCCAGCGTAACGTTTACCACAGGTGTGAAATACACTGGGAAAGAAGTACCGTGTGCATTTTATATTATGTTTCTTTGTCATCTACAGGTAATAAGTATCGACAAAAATAAGCAACAAATATGCCTGCAATTAAACTTCATATGCGTTTTGTATGCGTATTAATAAAGATCATATTTATCATGTCCATGTTTGGGTTTTTTTGTTTAGGTTTTTTTTTTTTTTTTTCCTGCCAACAAGCACTTGTTAAAGTATCTACATTTACATAATAACACCTTAAGATAGTAACACCTTAAGATCGGGATTTTTTTGATTCCTTGTTTTTCCTTCACAGTTAGAAAAGCAAGGAACGTTTTCAGCTTTGCTAAGCAACCTTCCCGGACGCCGAGGCTCGCCGTTTCTCTAGCAGAGATGCAGTATCTGGGTTCTCTTCAAAACAGACCATTTTTCGGTGGTTTTGGTTTTTTTTTTTTTTTTCTGGACTCTCTAAAAGGGGTTTGGGTTGGGTTTTTTTTTTTGGTTGTTGTTTGGTTGGTTTTTTTTTTTCCTCAAGAGAAAAAAACCCTCTGCATTTAAATAAAGATGAATGATAATTTCATTATCAGGATGGGGAGAATGCTGAACAGTTTTCGCATCGCTGGAGGGTTTCTGTGCTCTCTCACGACCGGGGATACTGCAGTCTTTTGGAAAGGATGAAGAGGTAGGAACCTTGAGCTGCTTAGTATCAGGAATGACTGGATTATAGCTTCCAACTAAAGAAAAAACATCAAGAATCATGCATTTTAAAAACAGTTTATTCAACGGCCAAGGACAATGATCCGGCACAATGCAACGGTAGATATAAATATAACCTTATATAAGTGGTTGACCCTTGTCATTATTATTTTTAATAGTTTCATACCTAATATTTTAACCATTTTTTCCCGCAGAACCTACTCTGCGAATTATATTTTTTTTTCTGACACCCCCTCCCCCTTTTTATTTTTTTTTCGAGTGTGATTCTGTTTCTCAGTGGTAAACATTAACCAAACTCTTCCCGTGCGACAAGCGGCCAAGAACCGTCCCACCAGCTCTAAAAAATTCCCACATGGTGTGCCCCCCCCCCCCCCGCCGCCCTCCCCGCGGGGAAGCGGCCGCCTTACCAACTCCTGTGCAAGTTCAAGTAAACACATACAACCCGCATAATCCAGAGAAAAAATTGCAACTCATCCATGTACCAGATTTCGGTGTCTCTTGCAAAAGTTTTCTGGTCCGTTTACGGTTTTTGACGGTTTATTTTTCATTTTATTTTTTTTTTAAAGCGCAGTTTTGTTGGTTGCGCCGTTGCATTAATATTATTATTTTTTTTTTTAGACAGTCGAAGTCCGCGGAGCTGTCGGGGATTTTTTTTTTGTGGTGTTTTGTTTTGTTGTTTGGTTGGTTTTTTTTTTTTTCCTCTCTCACTTGCTCGGGTTTTGCTTTTAAACAGTTTTAATTATTTTTTTTTTCCTCTTTTCCGTTAAACGTCGCTTTGCTTCTGCTTTGCTTTTGTCGGCGGTGCTTTGTCGGAGGTGGTTTGTGTCAAGTCCGTCAACTGTTGTACTGACAGGCGTTTAGACTGGAGCCGGGGCTTTGCAAACTGCTGTAGCCGAAACTGGAGTGCTGCTTTGATTTCAGTCTGAGACTGGCTAAGCTGGAGTTGCAAGTGTCCCGGTAGACGCTGTAGGGCGAACCCGGTGGCCCGTAGGGACAGGCCGGCGAGGACATGGCCGAGTTCAGCGAAGAGCCGCTGATGTTGTTGATGTTGTTGAGGCCGGAGTTGGCCATGCCCGGCACGGCCGAGTGACCCATACTGGAGGGCATGTTCATGGAGGAGATGCTGCTGGGAGCCGAGAACATAGACTGGGAGGAGAGGGGGCTCATGGAGTTGAAGAAGGTGAAGCTCTTGGTGGAAAGCGGCGCCGGGGTGAGGCTTTTGGTGGCCCAGTTGTTGTAGGGGTACCCGGCGTACATGTCATCGTAGGGCTGCATCAGCCCGCTGAACTGGGGCACGTAGCCGTTCTTGCACAGGTCCATCTGCTGGTTCCGCTCCCGCTTTCTCCACTTGGCTCGGCGGTTCTTGAACCAGACCTGGGAAGGGGAGAGGGGTGGGGGAGACACACAGCCCCCC